AACTAACTGATATTAAGTCCATGAATTCTGAAAACAAAATTATAACACCTACAACTAACCTTGAAGAAATTTTTGATGAATTTAAATCAGAACTTTTAACCCAGGCTTCGGAGTTTACAGAAAAAGAGTCCAATTGGAGCTTACAGGAAATAATGTTTTTAGATGTAAACATAAATCGCTTCAACAGTATAGCAGCTTCTTCATATATTAAACTACCTATATTAATAATAAAAAAAAATGCTGTCTTGAATATTGAAAACCAAGATAATGCTTGTTTTGCCTGGTGTATCAATGCAGCCATTTTCCCAGCAGAAGGTGATCCCAAGAATCCATCATCATATCCACATTATGACACATTGTTGAATTTTGATGGTATTGATTTCCCAGTGAAGTTGAAAGACATAAGAAAATTTGAGAATATGAATAACATTTCAGTAAATGTATTTGGGTTGGAATCTTATTACAAAAATTGCAAAAATAATTATGAAATCGTAGGACCACTACATTTTACTTCCAAGCGTCTACCCACACATATAAACCTATTACTAATAACAGATAATGAAAAAAGTCATTATTGTTTAATTACTGATTTGTCACGACTTGTTAGAAGTCAAAAAACAAAACACACCGAAAAAATACATATATGTGATGGTTGTTTACAGTCTTTTGCAACAATAGAAAAGTTAAAAGCCCATGAAGAACATGATTGTACACATATATATATACTGAACTACCAACAAAAGAAATGAAAAAAAATAAATGCAGTCAACTAATTCCTGAAAATATTTTAAAATTTGTAAATTTTGAAAAACAACTACAAGTGCCGTTTGTGATTTATGCGGACTTTGAATCATTGTTAATACCAATAGACAATTGCGAGCCTCATAATTCCAAATCATTTAGTGTAAAGGTGTGTGAACATGTACCATATTCGTTTGCATTTTATTTAAAATGTAATTACGACGATAACTTATCCAAACTTGAGATGTACAAAGGACCAGATGCAGCCAAAGTGTTTGTTCAAAAACTTGATGAAGTGGTTCATAACCTATACAATAACCATTTAAAACATGTAAAGCCTATGCTACCACTTACCCCCGAAGAACAGGAAGCATATGATAATGCCACAGTCTGTCACATCTGTGAAAGACCTTTTGACGCTTTTAACAAAAAAGTTCGAGATCACGACCATACTCTTGGAAAATTTCGTTCGGCAGCGCATAATTCATGCAATTTGAATTATAAACTACCTAAATTTATACCAGTGTTTTTTCATAATCTTACAAACTATGATAGTCATTTGTTTATCAAGGAGTTGACAACTAAAAAAGAATCTGTATCAGCATTGGCCCAAACTAAGGAAAAATACATTTCCTTTTCCAAATCTATTTTAGTTGAAAAATCCAAAGACCCCAAAGTTCCCGATTCATTCATGAAACTTAGATTTGTAGACTCTTTTCGATTTTTGTCAAGATCACTCGATAAACTAAGTGAAACTTTGGATTCTAGTCAATGTAATGAAGTAAAAAAATATTTCTACAATGAAAAAGAGTTTAACTTAATGAGGCGTAAAGGTGTTTTTCCATATTCTTATGTGAGCAGCTTTGAAAAATTGGACGAGGAAGGATTACCTTCGAAAGAGAAATTTTTTGATAATTTGAGAGGTGAACCAATCTCCGATGAAGACTATGATAAAGCTAAAGAAATTTGGAACACTTTTAATTGTAAAACACTTAACGATTATGCGATGCTCTACTTAAAGACTGATGTGCTTCTGTTAGCTGATGTATTTGAAAACTTTAGAAAAGTTTGTTTAAAACACTATAAACTTGATCCAGCCCACTACTTGACAGCACCTTCCTTAAGTTGGGATGCGATGTTAAAATATACCAAAATAGAGTTAGAATTATTAACAGACATTGATATGCTACACTTTTTTAAAAAAGGTGTCAGAGGTGGAGTTGCGCAGTGTAGTAAAAGACATGCAGTAGCTAACAATAAATTTTTACCTAATTTTGACATTTCAAAGCCCGAAAGTTATATTATGTATTTGGACGCTACCAATTTATATGGGTCTGCAATGAGTCAATCTCTTCCTTTTGGTGACTTTAAGTGGATACCTGTGGATAACTTTGATTGTACTTTAGTAAAAGACGACGCTTCTAAAGGATATGTGTTGGAAGTAGATTTGGAGTATCCACACAATCTTCACCACACTCACAACGATCTTCCGTTTTGTCCTGAAAATATAATACCACCAACAGGTAAACACCCAAAATTAATTCCAACACATATCCTTTAGAAGCGTCGTCTTTTACTAAAGTACAATCAAAGTTATCCACAGGTATCCACTTAAAGTCACCAAAAGGAAGAGATTGACTCATTGCAGACCCATATAAATTGGTAGCGTCCAAATACATAATATAACTTTCGGGCTTTGAAATGTCAAAATTAGGTAAAAATTTACTGTTTAATATATATCTTAACAATTTATTCGAAGTCAAAAAAGGAGGCGGAAAAATGTTGTTGTTTGCAGTTGATACGGTCATTATCTATACTTATACATCCTGGATCGAATTAAAATCAGAACACAGTCTTATAGAAGTTAAGAAATTGTTCGATAATCGCTTATTCTCTATTAAATATTCAAAAACATTATACGTACCGTTTATCAGCTATGCATCATATCTTTATAACTTCAATTCACCAGATATAGATGAAAATACTAAGATTAGTGGTGGAAAATATTTAGGATTAATGCTAGATAGCCATCTTGAATGGGATGTACATATTTCATTTTTAATTCAAAAACTACGATGCCTTTAGAAAGAATTAAGCGAGTTAAATTTGCTTTATCAGATGCTCAAATGAAAATACTATTATAACCTTTTAGAATCTCACCTAAGTTATGGCATAGTAAGCTAGGGGAGGGGGGATAGCTAAGACTTATTTTGTTTCTGAGTTAATATTTTTTTTTATATTTGAACCACCCTTATATCCCAATTTTTATTCTTTTTTTATAATAGGCTGCATTTCCTTATAGAGTCTGATTTTTATTTAAAATTTCATGTTGATATCGCTTTTTCTCTTTGATTTATTATTTTTTTTTTAATTCCAACCATCTTTAAACCCTTTATTTTAATAATAATCTCCCTTATGAGTGAATTTTAACCACCGAATCAGATTGAGCTTGCATGGGGAACGGACGGCTTATTATTATTTGCCGTGGCGCTCCGGGGCGACTTAAAGATTGATGATGCCATTTGACTTACAAGCGAGGAAAACCCGGAAAACCTCATTCATTATCATCGAGACGGTAACGCATGGCGATTTATAACGGTATGCTATCAATGACTTCCAAGGCTCTTTCGTGATAGTCTAGTAGGTCTCTCTTACTTGGCTTATCTGCTTCCCCAAATAATAGTTTAACGTAATAAATCCATTTTTTTACAATTTTAATTTTACACTGTTCCATATAACCCAGAGTTTGGGGAATTAATGAAAACTCATGTTTATTCCATATAGGATTGATTATATGTCTATATGAAACAAATTTAAACAAAAAAAAGGGGTGGGAAAAGAAATGTGAAAAACCAAAAAAAAAACTCTTTATTGGCTTATTACATTAGTTAGAACTTCAAAGACTAGAAAATATAAAAAACAACATGTCACTGCAACAGTAATAAAGCTTATAACAATAAAAAATATCAACAATATTTCACAGCTTGTGTGGATATAGAAAAAATAGAAACAAAACTCTTGACGCATTAAGCATTCAAAAATAAGAAGAAACAAAATACAAAATGCAAAAAATAGTCCTGTGGACTTTAAATAAAAAAAAAAAAATAATTGAATCGGTTAATTTGGAAAGGGGTCAACTTTATAAATTTTCAATAGTAGTTGACCCCTTTTCAAAACGACCGATTGAATAATAGATTAATATTATCAGCCAGGGCCATTTCAATATTTTCTTGGTCATAGTTACTTCTATAGATCGTTCTAGGGATATGCTTATGTTTTCGTGGCATCGTTCCATATATCCCTAGAAAACCCAACTTTTCATAAAAAATACTTAAAAAAAATGGGACAACTTAAAAATAATCAAAGTATGTGGGGTAATTGTTTAGGTTATGTATTAGAAATAACTTCATTGCGCATATCGTCGGCTTACCTGCAAAAGGCTCAAAAAAATCTCATTTTTGTATCTATCGACCAAATCATTTAAAACTATTTACTCTATATCTGGAAAAATTGATTAAGCTAGTAACTAATTTAAAAAAAGTTTGAGAATTTATAACATTTGATTTTAGGTAACTAGTATAAACTAGTTTAACTATTTCACTAGTTTAAAACTGTTTATCTCAAAAGTTTGTTTCTCTGACTTATTCAATTTTGTCAGTAAGCCGACGATATATTCTATCTCTATCGGATAAAAAGATACAAAGGACACTTAGTTTTCTAAAACAGCTAAAAATTACCATATTTTTCAACTTTTTTTCCCAAAAACCACAGTTCCAGAAATTTTTTACAACTTGGCGTTATGTCAAAACTAAACCCTGTACTATTATATGTTTGTTACATATAACCCCGGCTGTTCCATATATCCCCAACCCACGGTACCTGGCCCATAACCTGTAGATACCTCCAGTGTAACTACAGCTCGTTAGTACACGTGTTTAAAATATTTATTAACGGGAAGGGACAGAACAAAAAATATTCCTATCAAAATTGACAAGTATTTACATTTAACTTGTCTCTGATTCAACTTGATACAAAAGTGCTCAACTGATATAGAGTAAGTCTAAGGGCTAACTTTATTTAATAAATTAAACTACCTTTAAAATTATTATATTGGTGATTTCGGCAATTTGGCTGATGGAAGATCATCTGTAGATGTTCTGCAAAATAGCAGACTTTCTCGGTATTGTTTCGAGCCCAGTTGTTAGTTAGGTACCTACATTTCTGTATAGTGGATTTTAAAAAAAAGTTCAATTTTTTAGAAAAACTTCAACAAACAATACACGCCAGAAGAAGAAAAAACCCGTTTCCAAAACTTCCAGAAAACTTTAAGGCATATTGAAGAAAACAACGCGAAATTCGCAAAAGGAGAAGTTAATAAACTGCCACAGAGCATAAAAAATGAATCAACATTAAAAACATTTAATCATCGAATAAAACAACAGCTTTTAGAAATATGTCCATATTCAGTGCAAGAATATTTTCAATATAAATTTGTACCACATGCTTCACCACCAAACTGTTCTAGATAAATTTATACAAATGCCCCTTTTCGCCTACCATTCTACGTTTGTCTCTTCTATATTTGTCTGTATTGTTTTGTTTAATTACTTTTATTTATTGTATACACCTTTATATTTATAATTCTGACGTGTCCAATAACATTATAACTGTTTAAATGGATTAATAAAGAATATAATATATAATAGTCATACTGAAGGAATCAACCAATTTTCCGATTTGAGCGCAGACGAATGGGCACAACGCAACCATGGACACGTTATTATCCCCGAAGGACTCAACCAATTTGGCGAACATGGGTTTAAAAAACCATGAATATTGCATTTTTAAATTGATTATATCAATGTCTTTATAAAATAAATCCGTTTTTAATTGAAAATCGTTTTAGTACTTACTCAGTTAAATAAAAAATCTGTTACATCATTAACAATTTTTCTATCTCTTTTATGGGTAAACACTTCAAACAACTTCTCGTAAATTATAATAACTAGAATAAAGATATATAATGAGCATTATATCTTACCTCTCTCTTATATAATAAAAAAGTGCTTTGTATAAAAGAACATTATATTATTTGTCTTGCTGTACTTTTATTTATGGAAAGCCTGAATTAAGATATTTATTATTTGCAATAAATATCAAAAGAAGTGTACATTTTTAAATAATTTGACATTTAAGAGCCATTCACATATCACAGTTGTCATCTTGATATTTGACAGGCACAGCCAAGCATTATTTTGATTTTTGCTAAATAAAATGGCCGGTTAATTATTCTATGGGGTTGCAACAGAAAACTAGTAAATTTGATGAAGGTGTTTTTGTGGCTAGGGGCGAAATAGTAGTACGCTTAATAGCACCACAATAAAAAGTCATTTTCAAGAAACTGCTTATATATTTTTTATAAATTGGCAGGTTTGGCGACTAATTTCGAATGAAAATAGCCTCTAAAATGGCCCGCCTTAGAAATTTCACCTTTACTATCAACAGCTGTTGTTTGACAGGTCGTTAGAGAATGTTTGCAATTTATGGAATGTGAAGAATGTTAGGAATTTTGACGTTAGAAATAATTGAAATTCCTAAAATTGTCACATAAGGAATTCATAGACGGATTTTAAGAAAATTGTTATTAAAGTAGTTAGGATGAACCGAAAATTCTGAAAATCAATAGGGTTCTAAGTTAGAAATAATTATTCAAGAAAATAAAAACCGCAAGTCAATCAGAACTTTCGTTTTAGAGTTTCTTTTGGATTTTCGGATATTTTTTAATTGTCATTTCCCACACTTAAGCAATTCCGACATTGGCCCTTTCAGAACCAAGCGACAGATTTACTCGTTACATAAAATAAGGCATTTCGTTACTGGTTTTATAAATAGCTATTTTTTAAATATTTGTTAATAAAGACTCTAATAAATTTTGAAAATTGGATGTAAGCAAATGCAGTATTAATATAGGTTAGTTTGAAATGATTTATTTAACTAGATAAGTCAATGTGCTGGTTTTACTTGTGAAATTTTTATTTTTCAGATTGTATTTTATTTTTATAAAAAACGGCACTTGATAAACAAAATTTATATAGTAGGTGTTGGTATTATTATGAGCATCTAGCATACCAGAGTTTGCTTATTAGCATCTGATTATAGTATCATGAATTTGTTGTAATGCAACTTTAATTTGTAGAAATATGAAATTAAAAAAATATTTTTTAATACATGTTTTATTAATGGTTTCGTTCGATTTACAAGTGAAAATACTTGCATATTTTTATATAAACTTTATTATCATCTGTTTCAACATACTGAGTACTTTTTCACAACATGCTATTATGGTCCTTATTAAATATATTTAAGGAACAAAAATTGTAATTCAAAACTTATACAATAATAAATAAATCACTCAAAATTATTTTATTCAATAATTAAACTGGTTAGTGTAATGCTCTTCGGCAATTTTTCTTAAATTATTTTCAGTCATCGTGCCAGTTTCCATTAACATTTTAGTAAAATATCCTTCCGGATTTTGAAGTAATACATGAGGATGCTCATATTCTACAGCTCTTCCTGAATCCATTACAAGAACCTTGTCAGAATCCATTATAGTATTTAATCTATGGGCTATTGTTATCACTGTACAGCCATTAAAGTTTTTGCGAATGGTTTGTTGAATTAAGACATCAGTGCTAAAAAAACGAAACCAAATTAATTTTTAAGTAATTAAAAAAACTAAGGACAAAATGGTAGGTAGGTAGGTAATACAACAGGGTTTGTCAGTAAAGCGAGAAAATTTTAACAATAATAATAATAATAATCTTTATTATTTTCAATACAAAAATTATTTCCATGACAATATCGGTCTTTACTCATAGCAATGCCATAATAGTCAAAGTAATCAAATTAACGAATATTTCGAATGATTAGTTGATACGAAAGTAACGAATACTACTCGAAAGTAACTCCATTTCTAGTTCATCATTTGTTTTTGTATATTTTTTAGTATTTGTCATTGTCATTCTGTCAAGTTAGGTTATATAATTGTCTTGTTCTGTAAAAGAGTGTCAATTAAACCTATTAGTGAGAGTTCATTATTTTTTACAAAGACTAAACATGGCGCATAATGATGTCATGCCCTGCTTCATTTGTCCTGCTGCTTTTCGTCAAAATCTAATGGTACGTCTTGATGGCGTCAATGATATTGATAAGAGAAACATTGCTATCGAACGACGTCTTGCCAAAAACAGACCATTGATCGATATAGAGTATGTGCGGCTTGTAGCAGGTCGATTGTAAGAGAGTTGCGTGTTCTTGAGCAAGATCCAACCTGTATGCGATTAAACGTTTTGACACAAACAGCTAACCAAACGTGTATGATATGCAATTCGCCCGATGCTCATCGCTTAACACTTGACGCAAGAGTTGATATATTCGTGAAAGTTGATATATATATATTCCCCCAAATACAAAATGTTGTAAATTACATGTTGACTACACTGGGCGACTTTTCCAAAGGCTATTGACAGGCTTGTATCATTCCAGGTAAGGAAATGCAAAGCTTTTTGTCAAAACTGCGTCAATTGGCTAAAGCTGGCTTGACTATCATCAATGAGAATGACATTGCCGATGTGGACTTTCAATGCATTTCACCTGTGACTAAAGAGCAGTTCCATGAATTGTATACGTTTTGCGACCCTGTGCCCACCGACGTCGGTTTCCGTTATGTTAAAAAAAGGATATCTTAGCGTTTCTCTGTAAGTTGAGGCAGGGACTATCAGACGAATTCATAAAAGCTATATTCCATTATGGTAGTCGACATCATATTAGTAGTTTATATGGCCTTACTTTAATTGGTCTATTCTGTTTGTCCTTAGGCGACTACCAAGTGAACTCTTGTCATGTTAATGCTCCGAAGGTTATTCTATATTTTGGTCCTTCCGGAACGTTAATTTTAACATTATTGTCGTTGATGTCTTCAATTTTAGAGGTTGGAATTTATCTCACCGTACATACTATGGAGTTAATTAAAGTTTTTGGAATAACGTCATTAATGCAAAAATATAGAGTGACTTATTATCATAAACTATGCGTGAGCTTCTGCTCCCTCTGCATCAATGTCGCAAATATACCATATACAATAAATTAACCAAAATTAAACCATTTTGTTGTTAATTCTTCTCAATATATAAGGAGCAAAACTTTCAAATAGCTTCCCTGTAAAAATTGAATTTTGCACAACTAGATATGCGGTTTGTTGATAAATATTGATTTTATTTAAATGTAATGTTAAAATATCCTTTTATAATAACAATGATAGTAGAGAAAAATAATAAAATTGTTTACCTTGGATCTACATTAGCAGTAGCTTCATCTAAAACGAGAATTTTATTGTTTCTAACTATGGCTCTAGCTAAGCATAATAATTGCCTTTGTCCAGTACTAAAATTTGAACCGCCCTCACTTATTTCCGAATCCAAACTGGTAATGGCATGTCTCAGTTCAACCTAAAATGACAAATGTTAAAGATATCGACAATATTAACGTTTCGATTTTATGATACCTCGCCTTTTTGAGGAATACCATCCTAATTCTTTATTTTAGTTCATTATTGTTCAAAAATAACAAGCATTTTTTGCAGATATATCAACTATTCTATTTATAATCTACATAAATCACCCCATATAAATAATATACATATAATAAACAGCCCTAAATGCAATTTAACGGTTTTTAAAATTCTTTGAAAAACATATTTACAGGTGTTTAATTTTCAATAACATTTAACTCCTAAAAATTTTATCTATCTCCTCATGAACATTTTCCGGTAATCGAATCAATAGCTCTAACTCCTTCACACACATAAATCTGTTTCACTCCCGCTAATATAAGTATAATAAGAAAATAGATAATTAAACGGCATTCACAGGTGCAAGCGACAATATGCTATCTTTCTCTGCAAATAATTCGTGTCGTATCGGTATCGTGTCGTTAGGTCTGAAAACGCTCAATCACGATAAGACACACCCACAATTGCAGGCACTTACACTTCCACTCAACAAGACAAACGATAAGATCTCTTTTGATCTCCGACACATCAACATCGTTGCTTTCTTCCGACGCGAACTCGACGCTATTCTCTTAAAATGTTGAGATGTATTAAACCTTTTGCTGATTATATATCCATAATTTAAGTTCTCATATCATTTAACTACGTAAAATTATTATAAGCTGAAGAATATGTATAGTTGTTAACTAAAGAACATATTTAACTTCATTAAGAAATAAGTGCCTGGCAATTTCTCTATAAGCATCACACTTGAGAAGATTTTAAGGTCGTAGAAAACAAATTGGTTTGATGGACCCTACTAAACTCCTACCAAGTTTATCTCTCCCTTATAAATATGTATTGTGTATTAAATTCCAAGTAGCATAATCATTTCTTTGTATTGCAAACAACTAAATTAGGATGTCGTTCAACGCCCACTTGTATTGAAGCTCTAGGCTTATTGTACTCCTCCCAGTTTCTTCCCCATCAGGATAATATTCTTGAAGAATCAAGAATATATCTGATGGGCCCTTGTTATCATTAGATCATACTCATTCACTAGAAATATATACCAAGGCCAACCTATTTAAAGGAATTTATATCCAACCCTTTAATACCCTATGCACCTGCACCGAAGGTTACTGATTTTTATCTCTTCTTGAGATAAGGACAAAAATGACGCAATGATCACATCGTCTTCCATTGGAACCTAAATGGATTTATTACCTTGGCCTTCATCAAGAAGTATAGCTTGTACTTGCAGCATGAACTACAACAAATCCTTTTGAATCGTAGTGGAAGGATACGCTATCGTTTCATTCCTTTACAACCCTGCTTAACCCAGTTAATCTGGTTAATATTATTTATTTTTTAAATTAGTATTCAACACTTACATTTTCTAGAGCCCGCCAAATTTCTTCGTCACTAACGTTTCCAAATGGATCGAGGTTATACCTTACTGTAGCTGAAAATAGTACTGGCTCTTGCGGAATAATCGATATTTTCGACCGAAGTTCGCTTAATCTTAATTTTGTAACATCTACGTCATCTATTATGATACTGCCTTGAATTTTGGTTAATCTAAATAGCGCTGCAATCAAAGTTGATTTTCCAGCTCCTGTTCTGCCAACTACACCAATCTGAAGGTAATATCGAATTATTATCATGGAAAAAAAAATAAATTTTTTTATAGCTTTAAATTACCTTATGTCCGGATTTAATTGTAATATTTAAATTTTTCAGTACTGGTTCACTAGTGGGGTCGTAATACAAATACACATTTTTAAATTTAATTTCACCACTTTCGGGCCAATTTACATTCACTGGTTTATATGTTTCCACTAAGTCTTTCGTTGTTAATTCCTTTTGCGTTTCTCCATCCGTTTCTTTTTCTAAATCTGTGTATTGTAGAACGCGTTCGACGCTGGTCATGTTATTAGTAACTTCGGCTGTTTGTCTTACTCCTAACTGTAACATCCCTGTCAGTATGAGGCACTGGGATAAGGTAAGCCCAACGCTGCCTGTGACTCCTTCAGCTAACAAATATAGTAAAATTATAATAGACAATTTTGATATTATTAAAATTGTAATACTTACAAGATTCAAAAAATAGAAATTGATAGGTAACCACAGCAATAAAAAGCGTGCTCATAACGTCTAAAATGAATCCAAATACCTCATTAGCTGCGATATATAAGTACCAGGCACTAGAATGTTGATCCAGAAGAATATCAAATTCTTTTGTAACCATTTCTTCTGCTTGTGATGCTCTTATTGTAGTCATACCGTCAATGGTTGCTATTAGATGGGAAAAAACGGGACCTCTATCTAAAAAAGATAATAATTTTTTGCTATGAGTTATTATTTTATTATTATTATTAATGTGACTTACTGACTCCTTCTAAACGTTTGAGATCTTGAGATGTTTTTAAATAAACCAACCGCAAGTAATAAAATCCAACAGACAATAACAGAGCTGGTACAATCATATACGGAACTTTTATAAAGATAATGAGAAGAATTCCAATTAGAACGAGAAATATTTGGATGAAATCAATAAATGCTTTTGGTATTAATTCATCTATGATTCCCATATCATTCGAAAATCTATTGAGGATTCTACCTAAAATAGTAGAAACATTGGATTAAATAGAGTAAAATAAGTACTTTTATATTACCTGATGGATTGGTGTCGAAAAATTTCATCGGAGCTTCTAAGACGTTGCTGAACATTTTATGGTGAAGATTCCTAGAGGAATTCATAACTATTCTAGTAAAATTAAGTGAACGGATTGGCATTAAGATTATACTGGCTAATATAAATACCGAATATATAATCATGTACTTATCTTCTTCGTTAGTGAAAACCGTATACTTGTATATAGTTTGATTTACTCCGTAATCATCTAAGAAATGTACGCTACTCTCATCGTGTATTTCACTTTCTTGGTTAACCCTAAAAATATTTATACGTTGTGAGCTTTATCGTACTTATTAGACACATTAAGTCAGTCAGCTTAATAGAAGAAAATAGATGAGGCGGGAGTAAGCTCAATCATCATCTCCGCAACTAGTTACATTTTATTAATTTTACCTTTTAATAATCATATAAACACCAGATATGTAATGTATATCGTATACTACAGCAAATGTTTCATTTCATCGTCTCGAGGATATTTCATCTATTGCTATTCTTGGATAAAATAAAAATTGGAAAATGATCAGCAAAAAATGTTAATAATCTAAATCAGTGGTCGCCAACCTTTCAATGTGTTGAGCTACTTTGTTAATTTTGGAATAAACAGCGAGCTACCCACACGAAAGCCACGTAACGCAACGTAAATGAAATAATCCACAGTTAATTTATCATTCTATGTATTTATTTTACTATTTAACTGGTAATACATAATATTTAAGTACTAATAATAAACTAATAACAAAATAACTAATATTACTAATACGTACTTGTGCATAGCTACATTCCTACCTACCAAACGAAGGTGTTTGAAAAATAAACACAAACTTGTATCCAGCCACAACGGCATGTCACGTAAGATTTAAAAATAGTTAATAATAACAACAAAAAAGTAACGCACTATCATGAACATAAACATTGAAAAATAAAAAAGCACGTTCAATGAGAAGGCTGACACTCAGACTCATCCATAATTTTTTTAATGTTTGCAGTATAATTTGATACAGCCATTCGAATACAATTATCCAAATGTTCATCTGTAAGTCAATTGCGATATTTGTTCTTAATAAACTTTATATTGGAAAAAGAAGATTCACACAAATAGGTTGAACTAAATAATGCTTTCACTTTCAAGGCAACACGGCATAGAACTGAATAGTTGTCTTTATTTACAATAGGCCAGATACATTTGGTACTTGAGACTAACGATTTTAAGGCTAAATCATTTTGAAACTCAATTACTTCCATTTCTGTTGCAGCGATGTCTTCGCCAAAGTTCTGCACAACACAAGTTGCAAACTGTTGGATATCAATTTCCATAAAGGGTGAAACAACAAACTGTGCTACTAAAGCCATTTCGTTGAAATCCTTAAAACGATTTTTGAAGTTATTCTTCAGGGTAGAAACTATTTCTAAATGATATTTGCTGTCATAGGGTTCTAATTGGATTTTGAGATATTTTTTCTGAAAGAATAGGAAAATGCTTGGCATCGCTGGTAATTGGGTTTTGTTCCCAAAACTCCAGCTTTTTGATAAATGCTTTTATATCAGAAATCACTTCCGCTAGTTCTTTGTCTCTCCCCTGAAGCTGCAAATTAAGTTCGTTTAATTTCTCTGTAATGTCCACGAGAAAACCAAAATCTCTAAGCCAGATTGAATTTTCTAGTTCCGGAGTCGGTTCATCGCGTTGTTTGAAAAATTGAACTATGCCAGATAGGACTTCATTAAAATGTTTCAGCACCCGTCCTCTACTTAACCATCGGACTTCAGAGTGAAGGAGTAGGTCCCCGTATTGACAGTCAACTTCATCGGCCAAGGTTTTGAATAATCTTCTTTGTAACGCTTGAGCTCTAATCTTGTTCACAATTTTTACCACCAGTATCATAACGTTGTTTAGTTTCAGGAAATTTCCACATAATGCTTACTGATGGATAATGCAGTGGTAACAGAGAAAATGCGGAAAAGTTTCATCTTTACGACATAACGCCACCAGACCCTTATCACAACCCACTATAGCTGGAGCGCCATCGGTTGTCAAGCCTACCATTTTCGATATTGGAATTTTCTCGGAAGAAATAATATTTTTTAAATAAGAAAACAACTCCTGTCCAGGGGGGCTATCCTCGACAATCGCTACAAAAACGAATCGTTTTCGAAAGCGAGTGGTTGAAAAGCGAGTAGTTTTTGAAATCTATATTCTTGACTGGCGTTCGATGAGCATTCGCTTTTTAAAACGTGTACGTTTTTAATAAGCAAATAATATGTCTGGCATCACTGTAAACTGTATATATCGCTGAATTCAAGTAATGTGCAGGCCATAAAAAATAAGGATTATGTAATTTAATTACAACAAACCAATTGTAAATTTATCGAATGATGATTTTGTTTAATCACATAATATATCAATGTTCAGGATAAACTAAATCGTTACTTTTTGGCGGAAAATAGCTGTACGGGTGCAGTCAATGCAAGCTATAATTCTAGGAAAATCGTACGTCATAAAAACCTACTTTTTATGGTACAAAATTAATTTAAATAATAACTTTACTTATCTCATTCAGTTCTTTAATACTTGTGGCAATTTTACAAAATTGTTAAAATTTCTGGACACAACGTGTGACTAACTAACTACCACTTGCAAGAAACCGCAAGCAAATAAAACATACATGAATTAATAATTAAATTCTTACACGGTAAGATATAAAAAATATTCATTCAATAGCCATTAAATTCAAAAAATGGATTCTGAATCTTTCATCATTCTTATCTTCCAAGTTTTCTAATTGTACTAATTATTGTATTAATAATAAATGAAAGAAATTTTCAGCTATTAGACTTTTTTTAGTATGTACTGCAAACCATATTTGTAAGAAATTAGATACTTTTGTATTAATATTAATAAAAAGTAGAATTTGTTAAAATCAATCATCCTAAAAGTGACATATAAGTGACATTGACTAAATCCTTGAAAACATTCACGTTTTATCAAAAACGTGTAAAAAATTCTGCTCGCTGTAAAACACCCGTTTTTAAAACGTACATGCTTTTAAAACGAATGTCGAGAATAGCGAATAGTTTGTATATTGCTAAAGCGTATACGTTTTTCAGAAAACGATAGCCGAGGATAGGGCCCCTGTAGTGTGTCCTTTCAGTGGAATAAACTTCAAAAGATCTTCTTTAATCATAAAATCACTAAAAACCATCCTGACGAACACGGCCATCTGAGTGTCAACGACATCTGTTGAGTCATCCAGTTGAAGTGAAAAATAAACACAGTTATCTAAGTCAGTTCTTAAATGTAAAAAAATATCATTGCTCATTACTTCTACACGTCTTATTACTGTATTAGCAGAAAGTTGCATAGATTTTATAGCTGAAACTATTTCGTCTTTATTTCTAAAGTTGGCAAATAACAAATTAGCAGCTTCTAAAAACGCCTGTTTTATCATTTCCCCGTCTTCATAAGGTTTCTTTTTTTGTGCAATTATCTGGGACACAAGTTGCAGCCTTATTTTTGTCGACTGTTCTTAAAAATATTGATTGTTGTCAAATTAACTGCTTTTTTAACTGTTTCCAGTTTCTCCTTTCTGGACCTCAATTCTCGACTTCACCGGAAAATTTTCCCATGGATAAATATTCCCATGCTTACATTCCAGTGGTATTATAAAATGGTATTCTCGACTAGGTTAGGAACCTTTTTCCTATGGGAATTTCGATTATTCGTATGTCTAACGTATGTCGGGTATTAAGTATGTACATATTGGAAACTGACCAATCATAATCAATATTATATTTCAATACTTTCAAGTAGTAATGTTGGGATCATTGATTATATCGTCAACTTTTGACTCTTGTTTTGCCACTTGCCATCTTGTCAGAGAAAACAATCAACCCCCTTTTTTTAGAAAATAACGTGAAAATATATCATGTGCTGAACCTAGTACAAGGGGCACAATAAAGCTCAAACGAAGAGTAGCTGCTACAAGGTTAACTAAAACCTTGAATACTAGCCGAAATATTGAACGCATGTTACAAAATAAAAACTTTAATAAAGAAAATTATTATGACAAAAAATTCAAGTTATTAGATAGAAATGTTTTGGCAAAAGAACGAATAACTTGTGCCTTGGAAAAAATAGCAGAAACAGAGGAATTTTAAGGATATTTAAGAGTGTTCAATATTTTATCTTCAAGTTTTTTAACATCTCATTATATTATTAACAGTCGCTATTTATTTTGCGTAATAAAACAAAATTTATTCTGAAATAGCCTATTCAAAATAAACAAAATTTATTCTGGGATTGCTTATTCTAGAAAACTTGCGTTGATCATATTTGAGAAATTGTCTATCATTTAAGGATTCAAAGGGATCCCCTGCCTCATTTTTCCACTTAGACCAAAAATCTCTTGGGACATTAATTGCTCTTCTTTCTGCCTCTTCTATATTGTTTAATTGGGAAAGTAAAATAGCTTCATCCATTTTAGGAAAGGTATATTAGTAATAATAATATATAAATATTATTATTTGAAGTAACTAGCAAATGTCACCGGTGACAGATTCCCATTGGAAATTTGATTTCCCATGCCAAATACCAGGTGTATTTGCTCCCATACTTTTCGTGAGAAAATATTCCTAGTGGATGTGTCGAGAATACAAAATATAAATTCCCATAGGAAAATTATCTTTTTCCCATGGGAAAAAAAGTCGAGAATTGAGGGCCTGGCGGCAGAATGTAGTGGAAATGATTTTTCAAAATTAGAATGTACAGTTTTATGATGTCTCTCAATATTTACTTTTTTAGCAACGGAGACCGAAGTATTACATAACAAACACACATTTTTATCTTTAACTTCTGTGAAAAAGTATTGTTCTTTCCATTCCGAATGAAAGTGGTATGTGTTTACCTTCTTACAACTGCTTGCCATATTATTTTTGTTGTTCTCTACTAACCCAACCACTGGACGTTGGTTACGCGTTCAGTTTTAAACTAAGCGCAATGTCGCCGCGCCGTGCGTATTTATCCCGTTCAAAGCAATCCTGATCGTTCTCGAACACTAACGCGCTGGTCCGGCTGGTCGGTTCTAGCCGATTCTAACTTGATAGCGTCAGCGGCAGATCGCTCACCGCAACGTTGCCGCTGTTTATGTTTAATATTATGACAATTAGATTTTTTTGTGGAATTTTCGGAAGCTTCTCTGATTTTTGCAGTTTGTATTTTTTAAATTAAAATCGTTGTGAGAGCTACCAGAATTGCCTCCGCGAACTACCGGTAGCTCGCGATCGACAGGTTGGCGACCACTGATCTAAATTGTTGAATATAATTTTAATGATACAATACCTTTGTAAAAATATAACTGCAAAACTATTATCTATAGAAATATAAAATGAGTAGAATTGTTTTAAATGGGTACAGAACACAAAACTTGTCAGAACCCAGGTGGAATGTAAAAGGAAATTAATAAACTCTTCAACTTTGAAGCATATTGTAATATTTGAACTATCAACTGTATTTGATCTTGAAAAGATTTGTACAATAAAATAAAACTTATACCTGTTTGACAGCATAATCATTGTATATTCAACTAAATTCTTTAATACTAAATTATTTTCTTTGTTGGAACTGAGATTCGTGAGACTTTAAACAATTTTCGATAATATATTATCCACACAGATTCAAATTCGCAACAGCACCAAAATAATTAGATGACACAAATTTTGTGAATAGTGATAAAATTGATAAAAATAATTAACATAATACGATTATTATGCAACAAATGAAATTAAATTGTTCTTTTAGCAAAATTAAAAAGAATTCTGTTTCTGAAAATGTGAAGCTTTTGGTTATAAGAAAACTATTTACCAGTATGTTAGCCACAAATCTCCACCATTGCACGATAGCTGGGCAATTATGAATAAAAATGCCATAACTATAAAACCAAATATCCCAGTTCCATAACCATAGTATTTGACAAAAACGGAGAATGGTATGGCGCCAGTTGCCATTTCTTCGAGATTTTCTTCAGGTATATGTTCTGATAGTGTTATACTCTAAAATTTTTTTATTTATTAGTCAAATTTAAAAAAAAACTACATTGGAAACAATCAGAATTGTGACCCTTAACTAGTGTCTTTAATCTTTTATTGGTTATAGCATAAGTCAACATAACAGGAATCATGAAAACACCACCGAAGCCATGGAAGTAATTCTTAGTCTCATTTCTCTTTATATTTATATCAATGGGTTGCGTTTATGACAAATACACGCCTGCGCACGGTTGGAATAGAACCTGATGTAGTATCTGGTGGTAGGAATCTTTTAAATTATCCTGATAACACTACATCAAATAAATACTTGACTATGACTAGACAGAATCTGCGCCTGATCACAGACATTCTGACTGGTGACATTATTTGATAAAATATCAGATATCGCGCGGGGGTCAGTTTTAGGACCTCTTTCATTCATCATTTTTTGTAAATTATATCCACAAACAATAAACATATTAAATATAGTATTAATGTATACTGAATGTCTAAAATTATTTAAAAAAGTGTTTTACTAATATTATTCATACTTCTCTTTTTTCTAATGACTTTTCAGTAACATGTTGTATTGGAGTTTCATTTTCATCAGCTTCTAAATGTAAAGCACTTAAATCTTCATGCGATACTTCATTATAGTTACCCATTTTGTGTATTTTTCCCTAAAATTAAAAATAAATTAACACTGCCTGCTTTTTAATGCAAGCGCCATAATTACAACAATACAGGGTGTTCCGATATTTTTTAAAGCATATTTCAGATACACTTGAGATTATTGACTGACATTGTGACATCATCACAATAAAAAAGTTAATTTTTTATTTACATTCAAGGTATTATCTCAAAAGTAAATTACATTTTATTTTTCTGTAATAATCGGTGTTTTTTCAAATGTGAAATAATTTTATGAAAGAAATGTCCTGCTTTTAATTTAACATAAAATTTTGGAACACCCCGTATATAGTTGCCGTTCAGTAAATTATTCGTTAACTCACATTTTCGATAATAACAATGATGTCAGCTTCTTTCAGAAACTGCAACTGATGAGTAACCAAAATCGTTGTCTTATCTTTCAAATAACCTTTTATGCACTTTTCAAATAGATGTTTTCCTACTCTAGTATCAACAGCTGATAATGGATCGTCCAATAAGTAAATATCTGCGTCGGCATAGATAGCTCTAGCTAAATTTATTCTGGCTCTTTGGCCACCGCTAAGTGATACACCTCTTTCTTCTACCATTGTTCTGTCGCCAAAAGGAAATTGATCTAAATCAGTTTGAAGAGCGCACACCTGGACGACATCCCTATATCTAAAAGAATTAATTGAAATGTTGGTACAGGTAAGTCTAGGTTATTCGAAGCAATATTATAATCACCTTTCTCTATCGTACGGTCTGCCAAATAGTATATTATCTCGAACACTGGAGACAAACAACCAAGGTTCTTGAGAAGCATAAGAAACTTTTCCATGTACTTCAAGTGAACCAATGCTCATTGGTAACTCTTTCAAAATCATTTGAAGCAAGGATGTTTTACCACTTCCTACACTCCCTACCTAAAAGCAACTGTTTATTTTTATACATCATATACACCAAGACCTGCAAATATATTATAAATAACAAAGAAGATTTGTACTAATCCATTTTTATTATTATATATTATATATTTCTTGGGGTCCTAGTTGATTTAAAATATATACTCACCACACAACATAGCTTCCCAGGCTTTAATTTCAAGGATATATTACTAAGTGTTTCCACATTTGAACCACTCCAAGAACCCGAAGCTTTTTCTATAAAAATAGTTCCTCGTCTATCATCGGTGTCATCAGCTGAAGCAATAGAGTCGTTTTCTTCCAATAACAGAAATTTTTCTATCCTTTTTACAGAAACAACACCCTCTGCATAACTGGCTATTGCGAATGGATAATAAACGCACATAAACAGTTGAAGAGAGTTGAACAATTGTGCGCTTGAGAAAACTTGTTCGGCATTGATTCTGTTTCCCAGTAGAACGTAGCATATTATGGAACAGTATAAACCGAATCTTTCTGTAATAACTATGAGCGCCATGGTAACACCTTTAATTCTTGATGTTATAGTGATCTTTGCCACTTCGTCGCTAAAAAAAAGTTTCAGGGTTGAATGTGACACTGGACTACAGACATTCTGCAGTGATTGCAAGAATGTAGAAAGTTAAGCTCAATTAGTTAATTAAAAGACGAAGATAATTTGAGTTCATAGGACCAGAACCATTCCTGGATATTGCAAAGAGCACTGCCAAAGAAATTATCTCAAAATTAACAGATGAGGTAACACTTATGAGCTGGAGAGATACCACTGGGATAATTTTTTTTACTAGCTCCTTCGCTGAGATTCGGGAATAGAGTAGGACAGCTACGCATGGGTTAGCTTAATGGGCGAATTAGCATTATTATCATAAAAATAAACTTATAAGATGTTAAATTAACCTTTTTTTTTTAGAAATAAAAGGAATGAGATTTTTAAATATCAAACCCGAAAAATGCTTTTGTCTTCTTTCATAGCATATTTCGTTAGTTTTTATTTACTATGGACTTTTACGCAAGAAACTACAATAAACTACCGAAATAGCACATTGATTTACAAGCTAAGAATGGTACCTATTCATTGCTTTTACGAGTGGTATATTTGCAGCATATACTGCAGCTATATTCTTACCATCTAGATTGCTCCACAATTTTTGCGAAAGACTTCTCCCATGCGTACATTTTTATAACTTTAATACCAGAAACAATTTCATTCATTAATTTAACTCTCAAATCTGTTTTTTCTGCTATTTTGGACCTTAATTTGCCTTGAACTTTAGAGAAATATCCTGTAAAATAAAATAATTCATATCAATATTTTCAAAAGCTCCGATATGTAGAAAAATATCTTACCTTGTATCGGTATTCCTTCAATTATCAGAGCTACTGTACCAGCAACAGCCGCAATTCCTAAGTTTTGATATAATATGTAGAAGCATACAGCTGCTTGAAAAGGCATAATCCATATGTAATGTAGAAACTGTGAACATGTATCAAGACGTTGTAAGTCGTTTGAGAGAAGATTTACCAATTTTCCTGCTGGAGATTTGTTTAATGATGATTGATTCAATTTGAGTAACTAAAAAACAAAACAAATTCATAAATTCTTTTGCCGTAAAGTTGAAGTAAAAGATAATATTGTGAACCACGTATTATTCATACAAGGAGTAAAATTAGGCTAGGTTCTATTCATGGAGGTAGTAAGGAGAGGAGTTAATATACCATACAACCATTCAAAATAATGTTGTATTACTACTACTAGACAGATATTGTAATAGTAACAATATGGTGCTCAATGCAGTTTTAAATGACTCATAACATTTTGAGTTGTGATCGTATTATCTTATTCTGTAACGTGCGGAGGAGGTTCCCTACAGAACTTAGAAGTAATATGTTTGTTGCAACATGAACGAAAACCGTAATATTACGGTACAAAACATGCGCTCTACACAAAAATTGTATACAGCTCATAAAAATATATATAAATCGATTGAAATTTGAAATAATTTGAAATTTAAAAAATATTTAAATTGGTCTTAAATAGTTGTGAGCAGGCAGCAATTTGGAAGTACAGAAGCAAAAATTGAAGCTAACTATGGCGTAATTTAAAGAAAATACATAAATACATTCTACTCACCTTTCTATATACTAGCGATGATAAGCCGACTCTCACTCTCATTCCGACTCGTTGACTGTCAAATTGTGAGTGGTGGTATAAAATTGCATATAAAAATGCTAATAATACTACAGCAGATGCTAAAATCCATCCAGAATATTCTCCAAAAGTGGTATATTTTTGGGATTTGTCAAAATATCGAATATATTCAGCCAGTACTAGAGGTTGTAAAGCCCTTAAAATATATTACATTTATTTAAAATAAAGCGAGGTAACATTTTTTTAGAGTATCCCAAATTACTGACATCACATCATGAACATTGAGAAACATGCTGTAAGTTGTGATGTAAAATTCCGAAAAAATTTAGATCAACAATTCTTTATAAATTCCCAAATACAATTTACAAAAATTACCGCTATGAAATAATAAAATAATGAAAAATAGGTACTCTACATTTGTGTTGCTCTATGCTGACTTGCCAAATGGGCTGCCAGGACATGACATTAAGTATACACACTGCAAGTTTATTTACTTATTATTCGGGAAAACTCCATTATAGAAAAAAATATACAATACAATACAAAAATATACAGTGTCTAGCCAAATATTTAGATACTATAATAATACAAATATTTACATACTACAATAATACAAACCCATTGAGATCTATTTCTAACTGTTTTTTTAAAAGAATATAGATTGACGGTAAAACCGATATCTAATTTATTGGCCTTTCTAACCATTCTTGATGAAAGAGCACAATCAACAAGTCTTTGTTTCTCGTATACCTTTGAGGAAGACGGACTTGAATAAGTTTAAGCATGTTGGTGCAATTAGTTACACCCGAAATAAATTTAAATCTAATCCACGAAATTCCAGCGATTCTAAAATCAATGATCTTTGTATATCCTCATACTCATATTCCCCATATCTTAATCCCAATTTGTATTCACAGCATCTAAAACTTATTTCAAACAGTTTTAGTAGACGAGCATATTCGAGCAGGGATTTGACATATATGCAGAATATACTACTTTGACTAAATTTATCGAGAGACTACTAGTTTCTCAGTATAACTTCAAGAGTTATTAGTTCATCAAATTTCTAGAGGCTTTCGACGGCTAGACAGAGAAAGCACTACTGAGAGGCATCGGTTGGCGGGGCCGACGGATTTACGCAATGAAAGTACACTCTGCGCATCAAGTATTTCACTATTTTATTCAGACGTAAATGTCAGATGTAAATTTCGCTAAAACATTTCTTTTATTTTCGTTTGTGTTTTTTGCTCATTAGAGTTTAATAGAACCTAAGTATGGAGTTTAATAGCAAATTAAGAGGCCGCGTGATTAACAGTCAATCTCGCGAAATAATAGCCAATGTTATAGAGTTTATGAGAAGAGAAGGAAACTTTAATTCACCTTCAATACCATTTAAAAATGTAAATGATCGTGTTGCTGCAGCCACAGGAGTATCTAAAAACACTGTCGTCCGCATTTCTGGAGAGAAAAAAAGAATCGATAACCGTGAGATATCGGAATTTTCATCACCAAGAAAAACCATTAAAAAACCAAAAACAGTTAATGATATAGATGAAGCTGACAAAGGTATTTTAAAAAGAATTATTCTGTTCATGTTAATCTCGGAAAATATTGTTCCAACATTAAAAACAATTCTGACTAAATTTAGAGAAGCTACAGGGTACAAAGGAAGCTATGAAAGTTTAAGAAAAATAATAAAGTCGCTAGGATTTCGTTGGCGGAAAACAAAAACAAACAGAAAAATATTAATGGAAAGGTTTGATATTCAAAAGCTACGTTTAGACTATCTGATTCGTTTAAAAAGTTATCGAGCAGAGGGCCGTCCAATTGTCTACTTAGATGAAACATACATTCATGCCTCCCACATACACCAGAAAGCTTGGAGTGATAATTCAAATGAGGGATTAAAGAAACCAATTAATAAAGGTGATAGACTAATTATTGTCCATGCAGGAGGTGAAATGGGCTTTATTCCGAATGCCCGGTTAATTTTCAAATCTGGAACCAAAAGTGGAGACTACCACGATGAAATGAATTTTAATATTTTTTCTAAATGGTTGAAAGAAAAGCTGTTTCCGAACCTCCCTCCAAGAAGCGTCATTATTGTTGATAATGCTCCTTACCATAATGTCCAGGTAAATAAAGCACCAACGTCAACTTCTAAAAAAGCTGACATGCAGGATTGGTTAAGGAATCATAATATTGCTTACGAAGAGGATATGCTCAAAACGCAATTATACAGTTTAGTGCTATTGCATAAGTCACGATTTAAGAGGTATGCAATTGAAGAAATGATAAATGAACATGGTTTTAGTTGTTTGCGTTTGCCACCGTCATCCCGACCTTAATCCGATCGAATTAGTGTAGGCATCATTGAAATAATATGTAGCTAGTAACAACACTACATTTAAGAGGCAAGACGTACAACTGTTGTGTGAAGACTTTTTTGATACGTTTTCTAAAGAGGAGTGGCAATCTCGTTGTAATAATGCTAAAATGTGGGAATCTAAATTTTATGACAGAGAAGTTACTTTGGATGAGGCAACTGATAGATTTATAATTAACTTAAACAGTGACAGTGAGACTGATTTTGAATCTGATATGGAAACTGAAGAAAGTTTTTCGGAAGACCATTAAAATTATATCTGTACCTAAGATCAAAAAAGTATTACCTATTTTTACAACGAAGATGCACAAGAATCAAATTTTATTTTTTTATTATTAGATAGCTATTTTTGTTTCTGAGTTGTGTTCATTTACAGGCTCAATTTTTTTCCGTTTCTCCTTTTTGATTTTATATGGGGTTTCAAGTTGTTTTTGACTTATTTCGACGTAAATCACAACAACACACTTTTTTAATAAAGCAAACAAGTGTTAAGAGGTATATGTACGTGTAAACTACAATTACAAAAAATTGATATGAAACCCATGAAACCACCAACAAAAATGTAAAGCTAGCTTCCGTACTAGAACATGGTGTCATTCGTCGAGATAATTTATCGTTTTGTTTAATAGATCAAGAAATGTAAATATTCCCCTGTTATTTTTTATAAAATTATAAGAGAAATAAATTTTTTTCTAAATAGTATAGTTTATTATTTTGTAGAAAAACAAAATTTCGAAAATTTTAGTAATGTTTCAGAAACAACCGTTATTAATAATAGGTACCATTTTCCTTAATAAGGTAGAAATAAAATATAAACTATTTCCACGATTTACAAAGGCCTACAAAAAAATTATAGGTATTTTCCGCTATCCTATAAAATTTATATTTTCTGACTCAATTTCAAAAGGTTGAAGGAATTCCAAAACACCTTTTATGGCATAATAATTATTTTCAATTCTACATACTATCTTTAGCTGCTTTTAAAAACGTTCTAAGAAAGTCCAATCAGACCAAGTTAATCCCTAAACTATTCCACACTTTTAAAATTTAATTACCTAAAAATATTAAAAACTATTTAAAATAACTTGTTTAGCAGACTGTACAATAGCTATCTTAGTCACACGTAGCGCGTTCTCTGTCTGGGCGTCGAACACCTCTAGAAATTTGATGAACTGTACCAATGATTTGTTTAATATATAGGTTAAATGTCAGATTCTCATCGACAGGCACTCCTAAGTTTTTATCTTTTTCACAAACCAATTATGGAGAGCTTGTACATCAATTTAAAGAAGAAGACAATCAATTATATTACAAATAGCCATGTAAAGTTTTAAGTCATCTGAAAAAAGTAGAACTTTGCATATCTGAAAATGCTACTGTCATTCATGATTAGTAGAAACAACAATTCGTTCCCTAAGTGCTCGGGAATGAGTTCATTATAAGAACAGACTGTAATGCTTTAAAAAACACTTTAAGTATATGTATATGTATGTGGGTTCTCATTTTACAGGAGTATAGTTTTAAAATAGAACATAGACCGAGGAGGCAAGTGGCCCATGTCGATGCTTTAAGCAGGAAACTCGTTTCAAAAAACGCAAATTCATTTTCTGAGGAAACAGTTATGAAAATATCAGACAAAGATTGGTTACTCTCAGTACAAAAGCAAGATCCTGAAATCTGTATAATAAGGGGCATGAGGCAAATAGGGATATTTTCAATTGTTACAACTTACGAGCGTTTAGGGTTTTACAGACAAAGGCCGAAGATGGGTTGTATCAAAAAACTGTCGATAGCAAATTTTACAAAATAACCATGATAATTTAGGTCATTTCAGTTTAGAAAGAGTAATTTGACAAGAAAAGAATTAAAGCTCCAGAATACCAAATCGGTGACGAGGTTCTAGTTAGAGTCACTACCTTCAAATCAGACGAAAACAGCAAACAAAACCAAGAGAAAAATGTACAGGGCCATTTACAGTTATTGAAATTATAGGCAACGATAGATACTAAGTTAAAGAAGAAATGGCATCAGACAGATGTTACAACGAAATGCGATATGAAGGCATTATAGCAGCAGAAAATTTAAAATTGTTTAGTCCAAGAGAAGATGAAGAATAAAGATTGACAATATTGAAATATATATTGTTCTGTAATAATAAAAACCGACAATATTGAAATATATATTGTCCCGTGATATTAGAGACTGACAATATTGATAGATATGTTGTCCTGTGATACAGACAGATAATGTTGAAAGATATATTGCCCAGTAAAAAAAGCTGACAATATATTTTTTTTATATACATACATTTATATTTCCTTTTTTTAGAGTAAACCGTAAAATTTGATGACATGACAGGGGTAGTATTCTCGAATCACGAATACCGTCATTCGCATACGTGTTCTACAATGTGTCTCACTTTGTTGAACGAAAACCAAGTGAGACAAATCATAAATCTCGCATGCGAATCTATATTCGTGACTCGAGAATACTACCCCAGGAGGGCCGGATGTTGAAAGCACCTAGATTATAGTATTTATTAGTTGTTATACAATTCCTAGCATATAAGATCTGTTAAATATCGGCATATGTGAATCACTTGCTTACGTAAGAATAAATGATATTATTATAGCAATTCGACTATCTATCATTCATTACTGATTTATATTGTGAAAGAGAGTTGATAATAAAAAGTAACATTTAGAAGTGTATTTATAAATAATCCTAACAATAGTATACTAATTAACCTTCTTGCGAAGAATGCCTGAACTATTTAAAATAACATGTTTTATTTATTTAACAACCCCTTATTTTGTATAAAGTGCTTTTGTAGTATTTCGTTAGCAGTTGCATTTTAAGACACCTAGTATATTAATACATAACAACTTACTTTATTATAACGGCTTGAACAAAGACGTTTATTCCAGGAAAAGAATACGATTTAGCAAACGTTTTGAAGAGAGCAGTTTTTAAACTAGGTTTTTTTTCTTTCCTTCCATCAAGTTCCTTCGCCCAATTCCTTAAAATAAATTTAAATGTTAGGTATAGTAAAACTCTGTTTTTATCGAGAAAAGTTACTTACTTTTGTAATTTGTCTATATATGATTCACATTTATCTTGTTGTAATGTATCATAAATATCAGTAGTTTTTAAATTATTACTGTAACCAAATTTGAAGAATGGCAATAACCAACTGAAACAAAAAAAATAAGAACATAAATACTTATTCGTTATTTATAGATAAAGTTTAGAACTATGCCCTAAGAGAAGTTTTAGTCAACTATTTGAAGCATGAAGAAAATAAATTCAAGTCGACAGGGCAAAAACCTATAATGTTAAATTAGAGAGAAAGCCAATATACGTAGACAGTTGGTGGCATATGAAAATCTTTTTTATTACTAATTTAAGGAAAAAAAGTTATTCTATATAAAAAGTCGAGCATGATCTAAAACCTAAAATACAACCATTAAATATCAAATTTTATCAGTCGTATAAAGAATAAAGGTACTTTACTCTTGAGTAAAACTTATATTTTTTGACAAACCTCGTATACCACTGAAAAAATTTGATATTTGATGACTGTATTCCAGGGTATAGATAATGCAGAACTTTTTATGAAGAATAACTTTTTTTCCTAAAATTAATAATAAAAAAGTTTTCCATATGATTTCAACCTAGGGGGACATACTGTATATAAGGTTTCCCATTATGGGCATAATTTTTAATTGGTTAATAAAACACAAAATATCGACTGTAATTATTTAAATTTTTATTGAAAATTAAATTTAAAGGTTTGGCAATTAATATTTAAAAAGAATATCTGATAAATGGTCACCACTTGTTACCTTACACATAGCCATTCTTTTATCAGAATTTTACATCAGGTTTTGTTTCTATCTAACCAATTACTTGAATTATTTCGGCTTTTTAATTAGGAATAGTTTGAGGATTGTTTTTGTAGACTTGGAAATTCCTATAGTCTCTAAAAGAGTCCAATGGTGTTAAATCAGAAAACCTCGGTGACCAATTAACATCAACGTTTCTGGAATTTTTTTTTACAATAAATTCATTGTGCCGTATATTTAAGGTATATGTTCAGTTTTTATAAATTATCAACTATAGTAGATTCCAAATATCAGTCATCTTTTATCATTTTGAGTATAAGAACTATAACTTCACAAAGAATGGCGTCCCCAATTGAAAACACTTTATTAACAAAATAAACGAATGTCAGAAGTAGATATTATGGTAAAATCGTTTTTCGTAATCAGACGTCAGATATTCAAATTATATTTTTAACAAATCATTATAATGTACATAGATAGCGTTGTTTAACCTCTATAATATACAAAATATTATATTGAATTTGCCTTTTAAAAACAATAATCGTCAATTTTTTTTACATAAATAATATTCTTAGAATATAATACAATAATTTCGTTAAATATGTATCGTTTACTTTGGTTTTTACGTCTACGTAAATGGATTTTTAATACGTCTGTTCACTTACAGTCCTTGGGAAGAAATGCAGTATAAATTTGGCCAAATGCAAGTCATAGTAATAGTGAAAAATTGTAAATTTACTATATCGTAGATCGCAAATCGAATTCCAAAAGATTAGAATTATCTGCAATAAGTTGCTGAATAATTTTGAAAATTCGAAAACAAATCCTAAAAATCCTGAATTATTAATACCATCCTCAAACCTAGAGGTGAAAAGCCTGTCGTCGCCAAGATTAGAAACCAGACATCTATGTTTTGTACACAAATACCCTTACCGCTAGACCATGACGGCATTGACTGTCGAGATTCCTAAATTGCAATTTGACGTACTAGTTCGAGCCAGACGCCGTTTCAGACTCGTTCTCAAATCTTCAAAAACCTCTATAAAGCACCGGTATACATGAGAAATTCATTGATGCATACTAAGCCCATATATTCGTTTGCGTAAATTAAGTTTTCAATGTACGTTAAGCGACGTAAACCTGAGTATGATCAGCGTGAGTTAAAATTTTAATGTACGTTAGGCGACGTAAACCTGAGTATGACGAAGATATGGAATTAGTATGCATCCATGCATTTCTTATACAGTATTTATTATTTTATACAAGGCATAGCCGTGCTGTCACAGCAAACATGTGGCAGCTACGATATTGCCGCTATCGCTTTGTGATTAATATTCAGTTCGACCACCATATATTCCAATTCTAGTCTACGACTGGCTCTTGAACTGTTGCCATTTTATTAACTTTTAAAACAAGCCTATATCCAACACGAAAAAATAAGTACTAAATATACAGATGCTGTATAGAGATATTTGAAGATTTTAGAACGAGCCTGAAACGACGTCTGGCTCGAACTGATACTTTAAAGTGCTATCTAGGAATTTTGACAAGGACTCTATCTCACCGATATATATCTTTTATAAGCCATATAAAAATATAACAGAACAAATAAAAGAGCCGGAAGTGACAGGTACGATTCATATCTATACCGACAGTTCTAAAACAAAACAAGGTTCAAGAGAATATACTCCAGATCCATAAGGCGCGTACACACCTGAGTAATCGAACCGCATGAGCATTTGGGGATTCGAAAGCAACATCACGTACCTCTCTAAAGAAGACAGTAGTAACGAGTCACATGAGCTTCCATGAATGTTCTGATTCATGCGCGTTTTCAACGTATATTTTGCTAACCGTTTTCTTCCCCTAGCATCAGGAGCTTTGTTTTGGTTCATTTTCATAACTGTTCTAGAACTCTTCCAGAACCTTTGGAGCATGCGCAGTAGATATTTGCTGTTTTGGTTTCGCCAGAACTGTTTCGAACCTTTAAGTTCTGTGTTTTGGTTTTTTTTGGGAATGGTTCCATAACCATTCTCGAACAGTAACGTCGGTTCTGGCCTAAAGCGAGAACTGTTTCAGAATTGATATGTTTGCGCTTGCGATTTTTTGCAAGTAATTTTGTTTTTGAGATCCGGGCCACGTTTTGTGTTGGAATTTTTACAAGGAATTTTCGAATGACTAATGAGAATGAAGCAGTTGATTAATTGATGTTGAGTCATAAGATTTTTTACGAATTTATTATTTAATTTATCTACGTTTTACTATATTATGTGGCCTCTTTCTTACCTAGACACTGACCCTGTGTTATTTCTTCTTTTTTATTTATAATTTACTCTTTGACGTTAAACTGTTCTGGCAGTGTTTTGGTTTCGAATACAATGGAATGGTTACAGAACTGTTCAGAATTAAGGACCATTGCGCAATAGTTCTGCGCATGGTTCTGGAACAATTCTAGAACGTGAACCAAAACAAACCTAGGCCCACCGCAAACTGAACCCAACCCACGCACAGCACACGCATGATTTGATTTGAACGGATTGGCGCATATTGGACTCAGCCAAGGACTAGTCCAGTCCATCTGTGTCCGCCGCATAAACTTTGTGAATCCTAGACAGCGTCTGTTTGGTTTGAAGATAGTTGAAGATAAAAGTTTAATTAAACTTGTGCTGGAAAAACCTATTTTGTACAATCTTAGCCATCCAGACTACGAATACGATGTCTGGAACTTCCTTAGTTAACAAAAACTCTCCCTGATTATTCCTTGCATTTAAGTAAGCACTTCGTTTTCTCGAAAACGAAAACAATAAAACTACTTCATCGGTTTCTGATTCAGATTCTAAATCTAGAAGAAATCCGAGAGACGCCATGCTGCGTGGTGCTAGTATGCCACGCCATATACAGGGTGTCTGTAAAAGGTCTTTACAAAAACATACCACATATTCCTTAGACTAAAGTAAGTCGTATTAAGTAAAAAACCTTAGTACAATGTTGCTTCGTTTGGGCTCCAGAGGGCCTTGAAGTTAAAATTTTTAAATCGTTTTTCCCATATAAATTTAATACGGCATATGCGATTTTGCTGAAATTTGGTATATTGGTAGAGTTTTATGTGGTAAAAACAATGGTATTAAAATTTTGTCCGATAATAATACATAGGCGTAGAACTTGATTTTTTAAATAATTGCACCTTTAAAAATTCTACGCCAATGGAAGAAAAGGAGTTTGAGTATGAAATTTAGATTGCGCAACTCATTTACTTTAAAAAAGGTACTCTTGATAAGACTCGATTACTCTCATGGTTTTCGCTAAATTTCTGTTTTAATAATTTAGAGTGTATAGGTTTCACAAAAATATTTAATTACAACATAATCAAAATAGAGATTTTACAAAAATTGTTTAAAATGTTCACCATTTTCACGCATACAAAGATTTATACGTCGAAGAAAATTAAAATGTATCCTTTCCATAACTTCTTCATCACCTCTAAGATTGTTTATTGCATCTTGAATACGTTGCCAGAGTTGTTCCTCATTTTCTACAGGTTCCCTGTAAACTGTGGATTTCAGATGTCCCCATAAAAAGTAATCCATCGGTGTTAGGTCTGGGGAACGTAGTCAGTTTACAGGTGAGTCATTACCTCTGCCTATCCATTTGTGTGGATATTGTTCATTCAAGTGGTTTCTAACGTTTGAAGAAAAATGTGGTAGCTCCATCTTGCATAAACCATATATCTCTCCGAAGTTGGAGAGGTAAATCTTTTAACAATTCTGTAGAAAATCCAAATAATTTTCTCCAGTTAATCTTCGTGGAAGTATGACAGGACCAACAATGAAATTACCAATTATTCCAGCCCACACATTAATTTTGAATTCGTGCTGAAAATGGTTTACCTTTATTGCATGCGGATTTTCAACGGCATAAACATGTTCATTATGGGTATTACTTATACCTCTTCTTGTAAAACCCGCTTCATCGGTAAAGAGAACCTTCTTGACAAAGTTTGGATCTCTTTCTCTTTGCATATTAACAAATCGACAAAAAACCAAACGAATTTGAGGATCATGGACTAATAATTCTTGTACTGGCTTCTTATGGTATGGATATAGCAATTGTTTTCTAAGCACTTTATGAACGACATATTTACTTACTCTTAGTTCCCTTCTAATTCGTCTGGTGCTTAATTCTGGATCTTCTTCAACACGTTCTAAAATTTCTTCTTCAACTTCAGGAATCCTTACAAAACGTTCTCTTCCATTATCAACAGTGTTGGGAGCAAAGGAACCGGTCTCTTGAAGACGTCTCTCACGACGATTTGGAAACCTTTCAGAGTACACCCTGACACTATCTCGAG